AGAGACCGGGGGCTGTTCTTCCTTGCAGTGGCGTCTGTTGTTACAGAGCACAGGCTCTAGGCCCTCAGACTTCAGTACTTGTAACTTGTGGGCTCAGAAGTTGTGGCACACAGGCTTAGTTGCTCCGCGGCATGTGGGATCTTCCTGGACCGGGGATCGAACCCATGGCCCCCTGCATTGGCAGGAAGGTTCTTATCTGCTGAAATTCTCAACACGTTTTTAATAAGCACTTTCTGTGGGCCTGACATATTGACCACAGACATCTTGAAACTATCTGCTCTGGTTCTTTGGATAGTAAGAAAGGGCTGTCGAAAGTAAGAATCTATAAATGAACATGCTGTTGTATGTATACACTAATAAGTGAAACAGACCAGATAGATAGGCTGTCCTTGTCCAAAGAAGCTAGATGCTCTCAGCTGTAACAAATAGCTGTGTCAGAAGTGAAGCCTGGTTTTATGCCAGATCTTCCTGTTTTCAAGTAAAATATCCCAACATCTATAGGTTGACAACTTATTAGAAAACTTTTTCTGCACTGTCAACCAAACATAATGGATTTCTGTTCATCACTTTGGTATGGTGGGAGCTACATAAGAAATGAGGGTGGACAAGTTCTTTCCACATAAGAAATAGCACAGGCATATCTCACGGCCTCTCATGTCTTCAGTTATGCCCCAGAAATCGATCTGTATTCTTACATGGAATGATCATGATATACTGAGGACTGTCAAGAAATATGTCACCAGGTTAATGGCAACCCACTCCAGTATTCTTGCATAGAAAATTCCGTGGAAAGAGGACTGGTGGGCTACAGTCCATGGAGTCACAGAGAGTCCAGACATGACTGAGTGACTAACTCTAAAGACGGTCCTTAAGCATAAGATTCAACTACTTAATTTCATGTAATTGAGACCTCTAATAAAGCATTTTACACTCTCAGTGTAAAAATATTTATTAACTGTCATCATCCATATACTTACAGTCTGTTTTCCCCCTTCTACAAAAAGCTTCCATCAGAAGACATGCTTACTCATGGTTACCCCCTCTATTAAGCTTGGTAGTTATGTAATTAAACATGGCGTGGAAAACCACGCCTCTTCACATGCAAGCATTCAGAATTCTCTAAATGAATCCCCCTTTCTATTTTGTGAAAAGCATTTTAACATTTCAAAGGTTTTTGCATCTGTCGTATCATTGTCTGCCCCTGCTTTCAGATAGTCTATAAATAACTCATACGTCCTATAAAATTTTAAATGGAGGCACATGTGTGCAAGATCAAGGTGTTTTCACTCAAGTTTTGTATGGATGCTTTGAAATATGCTCCCCTGACAGGAGACTGCATCCGCATGCCTTTGCTCACAATGTGGATTCCCCCAGAACAGTCTTTTCTCCTGAACCCACATGTCATTCAAGGTGCAAACCTGATGTGTTCTTTCCTTTTCTGAGCATTCTGTATTTGACACTGTCCCAAGTTTACATCCCACTCTGACTTGTCCCTAGTCTGCATACCTGCCTCCCCTCCTCCCTTGTCACCTCGTCCATCCCTCAGAGGAGGAGCTTTTTCTGAGTGCCTTCACCCATTAGCTTAGCTGAAGCCCTTGGTAAGGAGTTATTTAGTGGCAGGTAGTCTAGGGAGAAGGCAGTGGCAACCCACTCCAATACTCTTGCCTGGAAAATCCCATGGAGGGAGCAGCCTGGTAGGCTGTAGTCCATGGGGTCGCTAAGAGTCAGACACGACTGAGCGACTTCACTTTCACTTTTCACTTTCATGAGCAGCAATCTAGAATGAAGGCATCTCAACAGAGTTCAGTTTTATTTTTTTTTATTTTAAAATATTTTTTAGATTATTTTTATGTGGACCATTTTTAAAGTCTTTAGTGAATTTGTTACAGTGTTGCTTCTGCTTGATGTTTTGGGTTTTTTGGGCCCTGAGGCATGTGGGATGTTAGCTCCCCGACCAGGAATTGAACCCGCACCCCCTTCATTGAAAGACAGAGTCTTAAGTACTGGACCACGAGGGAAGTCCCTAGTGTTCGGTTTTAGACCGACATTTTGAAATCAGACACACCTAGTTTTGATGCTCATGTCAATAGGATAGCAGCTGTGTGACCTTGTACGTGTTACTCAACATTTCCGAGTCTGTTTCTTTATCTCAAATTATGAGAATGAGAAGACACTTACAGGAGGCTGGTGTAGCGCCTGGTACAGAGTGGGTTGAACATCAGTGACCATTCCCCTCTTGACTCCTCTGTTGTTTTAATCGTTCCTCATATTCCTGCCCCTCCTCCTTCATCCATCCCAACCTTGTAGCTGGGACAAGAGCTAGGCTTTGGAGTCTAATCTGTTTGAAGTCCTATCATATCTCTGTGTCTTATTAGATCTGGAGCCTTTGACATATGACTTGAGTGATTTAGACTCAGTTTCCTCAATTCTTAAAAGAGGATAATAAAATACAGTGTCCCACAATGTTGTTCAGAGCATGAATGAGCCAACATATGTAAAGGATCTTGAGCATTGCCAGAGCATGGTAAATATTCAAGCGTTGAATGAATCAAAACCACTATAGAGATACTGTAAACAGTTTTGAGCTGGTTTTAGACAGAGATGAAGCCTGAACTAAAAAGAGTACCATAAAATCTGTACTTTCTGTAAATATCAACAGTGAATTAGATAATTTTGGTTAAGCTGGCGATGTGATGTTTCTTATTACCAGAATTTAGAGGTTTGAAAACTATAAAGTATTTGCCCAAACCTAAAATTTTGATTCATTTCCACATTATACTTAGTGTCTTTGGACATTCTTGTTCAGCTGGCTGATGCTAAAGCTCAAAATAGTTAAGGGCCTAACCAGTGCCCAGAGCATCCTTCTTCCCAAGTTCTTCTCTGCCTCACAAAGTGGACAGGCTATATTTCAAAGACATACCCCCAGGACTGCTCTGGAAGAGAATACACACTCCCTCATACCTCTGAGCCAGCGGTTGGCAGACTTTTTCTGTAAAGGGCTGAATAGTAAGGCTTCGGGCCCCATATATAGTTCTCAGTAGGATATTCTTCTTGTCCATTGTTACCACTGTTTTAAATAATCCTTTAAAAATGTCAAAGTCATTCTTTAAGAAAAAAGGCCACAGGTCAGACTGGTCCCACCCATAATAGTGTCAGACTCTAGGCACTGAGGGGGCTTTCCAGGTGGCGCTAGTGGTAAAGAACCTGCCCGCCAATGCAGGAGACACAGGAGATGTGGGTCAATCCCTGGGTTGGGAAGATCCCCTGGAGGAGGAAATGGTAACCTACTCCAGGATGCTTGACTGAAAAATTCCATGGACAGAGGAGCCCAGCAGGCTATAGTCCCCAGGGTTGCAAAGAGTCAAATGCAACTGAGCATGCACACACTTCCTACAGATGTTTGAAAAGAAGAAAGAGTGAAGTGGCCTTGAAACCCTGATGAACTAAAGCTTTCCTTTAAGTAAAGGAACATACACTTACAACAATTTTTTTAATATTAAAGCAATATAATATTTTAGGGGAGGGAAAAGTTTTCTCTACCCTCTGAGTATCCCTGGCTGGCTCTGAAAATTAAACCAACAAAGACAGATTAACAGGAGAAGAACAGACACGTTTAATGGAACTTTTACCTCCATGTGGGCATCTCCACAAGAGAATGCAGACCCTGGAAGAAGTGACCAGAGCCGGGAGTGTTTATACCCTGTAGACTAAGAAATAGTAACTTTGTAGAGAACTGATAAGACAGAGGTCTTGGGCTTAGAGTAGTAAATGGTAGAGAAGTCACTAGGAAGATAAGGGTTAGTTTGAAAAAGTTTGCCATTTAAAAAATGTTAATAATGTCATTTGCCGCAACATGGACTGTCATATTGAGTGAAGTAAGTCGGAGAAAGACAAATATCATTATGATATCGCTTATATATGGAACATTAAAAAAGAGCACAAATGAACTTATCAACAAGACAGATATAGAGTTATAAATGTAGAAAACAAACCTGTGACTCTCAGGGAGTAAGAGCAGGGAGGGATAAGTTGGGAGATTGGAGTTGACAGATACACACCACTATATATAAAATAGATAACTAATAAGGACCTACTCCATAGCACAGGGGAGTCTGCTCAATACTCTCTAATGATCCATGTGAGAAAATAATCTGAAAAAGAGTGGATATATGTACATGTATAACTGATTCACTTTGCCATACGGCAGAAACCACTACAACATTGTAAATCAACTATACTCCAATAAAATTTTTTTAAAAAAATAATAGCACTTTGTTATAACCAAATACACCCAAATATGACTGTTACATTGTGGAATTATAGATGAGATCACTTTCTCTTTATAATTTTTAATTTTCTGAGTTTTATATCATAAACAGAGAGTTTTACTATCATAAAAAAAGGACGTTTCTTTGTACAGAGTTCTCGGTCCCAAATGCTATTCTCTAGTGGTAAGGAGGGTTTCTCTCCTCCTGGTTTAAGGAGAGGGGGGCCTTTCACATCAGAATTTTGTGACCTGTTTCAGAGAAGAAGGGTGAGATGGGGAGAGTCAGAGTGACTTTCTTGTTTCAGCTGTTTTTCAAAAGAGTGCTTGAGCTTCAGATATTTAATATGCCACATTGCCATATCTGAGGGCAGCCTGTTCGGAACCCCATCAACATTTAATGAGCACTTTTGCTTCTGTGGTACTACCATATTTTCTAGTCGATTTTTTTAGTCATTTTGTAGCGGGACCTCCTCTCACTGCTGTTTCCTATTGGAAGCTGATGAGGAACATAGGAAAGCAGATGGCGCACAGACTGTCGAAATGAAAAACAGAGAAGAAAGAGCTGCGTGAAAGCAATATTTAATCATAACATGAAAAGCTCGTAGTGGCAACTTTTCCATTATGTTAAATTTCATTCATTTCTGTGCATTCTGGGCATGCATTTAGAAACAGAGGTTGTGAGTTCCCATCCTCATGCCCATCTCCCATGGGGTTTTGCCCTTGTCTCTTGCAGGACTACGATCTGAGCCAGCTCCAGCAGCCTGATACGGTGGAGCCGGATGCCATCAAGCCAGTTGGAATCCGACGGTTGGATGAGAGGCCCATCCACGCAGAGCCCCAGTACCCGGTTCGATCTGCAGCCCCGCACCCGGGGGACATCGGGGACTTCATTAATGAGGTGCCGAGAGGGACTCTCTTTCTTTATAAGGGTGTTTATTGGATGCTAACAGTACTATTGAGACTTCCCAGGTGGCTCAATGGTAAAGAATTCACCTACCAGTGCAGGAGATGCAGGTTCGGTACCTGGATCGGGAAGATTCCCCTGGAGGAGGAAATGGCAACCCACTCCAGTATCCTTGCCTGGAAAATCCCATGGACAGAAGAGACTGGTGGGCTAGAGTCTATGGGGTTGCAAAGAATTGGACACAACTGTGCAACTAAACAACAGAAGTACTATGGAGACCACAATTTGATGAGAATATAGCTATGTAGTTCATTAAAATACAGCTTTTTTTTTAATGTTATTTTTGTGCAAAAGCCAATGTGACTTCAGTAACAGAGAACAGATGAGATGGCTCTGCTCAGCCCAAAAGAGATCTGTCAACTACTATTCTGTATTTGTAGATCACAGCCTTATATGTTACCAGTATTAGTCACATTCTCTCCCAAGGATTTTTCCCATGATTACAAGTAATCAATAGGCCAAAGATATTATGCTTTGTGTTTAAGTCGCTCAGTCGTGTCCGACTCTGTGACTCCATGGACTGTAGGCCGCCAGGCTCCTCGGTCCCTGGGGATTCTCCAGTCAAGAATACTGGAGTGAGTGGCCATGCCCTCCTCCAGGGGATCTTCCAAACCCAGTGATCCAACCCAAGTCTCTCACGTTGCCGGCGGATTCTTTACCGACTGACCCACCAGGGAGGCCCAAGAATACTGAGTGGGTAGCCTGTCCTTTCTCCAGGGAATCTTCCTGACTCAGGAGTTGAACCAAGGTCTCCTGCATTGCAGGCGGATTCTTTACTAGCCGAGCTACCAGGAAAGCCCCAATGATATTATAGTGTATTCTGATTTCATTTATTAGCACTGATACATGCAATAATAGTTCGCTTTCATTTCCCTCACACTGTACCCTTTGAATCCCACAAATGAAGAGAATTCAGCGCCTTCCCACGTGACTCAGTGGTAAAGAACCCACCTACCAAGTGAGGAGACATGAGAGACACGGATTTGATCCCTGGGTTGGGAAGATCCCCTGAGGAGGGCATGGCAACCCACTCCAGTGTTCTTGCCTGGAGAACCCCATGGACAGAGGAGCCTGGTGTGCTATAGTTCCTAGGGTCACTAAGAGTCAGACACAACTGACGCAACTTAGCACGCATGCACCCAACGACTAGAGCGTTCCATCAAATAAGATTAGCAGGAAGCGCAGCTAAATTAAATATTATGTAAGTGATTTAAATACTTGTCTAGTTGAGGAGTTTTAAGAGCTTCTGCAAGAGGCAGGCTAATTCTCTGTTGAATATAACAGATAATGATTTCCACTGTCAAAATTATTATGGCATTCTTTTATTTCATTACTGACCAAGAGTTCTGCTACATTTAATCCTGAAGTTTTGAAGTCAAATGATTTAATACTGCTTCTTTTGATCATGTCTACAGTTTTACTGCAATTCTTCTCTGGAATTTTTATTGTTAGTTTAAGAGAACGATATATATTGATATTGATTGTGAATATATGACAGGACTCATGTTCTCTGGCCGTGTCCTGGCATTCAGAAACAGCAAGGCCAGGATTGGTCTCAGTGCCTTTCACAGTGGAAAGCATCTGTTGTACATTATTGCCTTCAGTCCTGTGCTGATAAGATTCATTTCCTGAAAATGAAAGGGTTAGTGGCTCAGTTGTGTCCGACTCTTTGCAACCCCGTGGACTGTAGCTCACTAGGTCCTCTGTCCTTGGGATTCTCCAGGCCAGAATACTGGAGTGGGTTGCCATTCCCTCCTCCAGGGGATCTTTCTAACTCAGGGATCAAATTCAGGTCTCCCACATTGCAGGCAGATTTTTTTTTTAACCATCTGAACCACCAGGGAAGCCCCATTTCCTAGGCTTCCTTGAAACAGTCATATATTACATCTACATAATCAATCTACCTTAGTTTTTAGATGCTCTTATAGTTTGTAGGAAAAATTTTGAAACACAATTCGCTAATCTGTCTTTACAAATATTCATTACTATCTATTCCTAAAATACATGCTGCTTTTTGAACATATCTGTTCAATTCTGTTAAATAGTTAATAGATTAATTTGTAGTTGACATGATTTAAAAGCTAACAGAAGGCAAAAACAGAGTGCAGGTAGCTCCTTTATGTATAAAAATATTCCCTGACTTTTCAGATTATTTATATAGTAGGCTTGGTTAGGGGAATCGGCAGGAATATACATACACACACACACACACATATATATAACTAGATATCTTTGAATATGTAAGCATGCCTGATGAGTTTACTTCTAATTTAACTTTCATCCTTATTGTTTATTCCTGTGGTTGTTGGATTTCAAGACACGGTGAATCTTCTAAATGTAGGTATAGGCATTGGACTTTCATAAAGCAAGAATTCTGGCTTCAGTGAAATTCAACAAATACTCACCTGAAGGTATCCCTGAAGTATCACTGTTCTGTGGGACTCCTCCATTCCATCGGGACATTCCTCTTTTCTCAAGACAAAGTTCAAGCACTAAGGGTCATTTCTAAGGCTGTTTGTAATCTGTGTCCTGCCCTCCTTTCCATCCATATTCTCTTCTTGTGCTGCGGCCCCGCCAAATTATTTGTAGCCCCTCAAAAGCATCAGAGCCTTAACTATAAATTAACTTTTCCGACTGAGCGGCTAAACAACAACTTTTACAACAGCCAACAGCTTTTCCGAAGCCCTTCCTTCATAGCAGTCAGGAGATACCCATTTAGCCTTCATATGCAGTTCAAATATCCTCTTCTCTCTGAAGCTGTTCTGATACCTCTGTGAAGGGTTATTATTAATACCAAGACGTTCCCTGAGTCATAGCCCTCACATGGGGTGTAACTGTTGGTATTTCTCTCTCCTGTGTCAGCATATCCATTCTCTCTGGGATGAGGGTGATTTCCTGACCTTCTCTGTGTAACCTAAGCATCTACTGTGTTGAGTAGCTCCTAGATTCTGTTGTTGCAAGGAATTCAAGGACTGTGACAGGTGTGTGGGACATGCACTATTTATTTATTTATTTTTGTGCTGGTTCTTCGTTGCTGTGCAGGTTTTCTTGAGTTGCAGCGAGGAGGGGCGACTCTCTAGTTGTGGAGCGTGAACTGCTCATTTCAGTGGCTTCTCTTGTTGTGGAGCACGGGATCTAGGGTACTTGGGCTTCAGTAGTTGCAGCTCATGGGCTTAGTTGTCCCACAGCATGTAGAAATCTTCCCAGACCAGGAATCGAAACTATGTTCCCTGCACTGGCTGGCAGATTCTTAGCCACTGAGCCCCCAGGGACGTCCCCATTTTTGAAAAAATATGACTGGACTTTCTTCAGTAAAGAGAGGAGAGTATTTAGGTAATAAGGTTCAGTGACCCAACCGTTCTAATGGCACAGTAGGAAGAAGTACACAGTAGGGATTTCCATGTGGAAATCTGCTTTCCCAGGTACAGTTTCAACAGTGGCTGGAGATTATAACGTGTGAATACCTAAATGAAAAAGTTTGTTCTGAACAACTGACTTTGCACATCAACTTCTGAAATACAGCCCATTCATAATTTGAAAATTGTCTGCCTTTGTTAGAAACGGATGGCTCATTTGCAGTCGTCTTGAGCTTGGTTTAGGATCATTCATTCAGCGGATAACTACCATATAGGTACTGTGTACATCCAGTGCCAGTGATACCTAAATGAGACAATGAGGGCGAGGCTCTCAGTATGAGTTCCCCGAATTGCTCCTCGCACGATCTCCATACCAGGCAAACATTCCAGTATCTGAACTCTCCCCTTGCCAGGCACAGGATGCCCCATTGGATCTGGTTCTTACCTCGGCAGTCCAGCTTCATCTCAGGCCCCTCCCCCATCTGCATTCTACAGGCAGGCCACAGAGACCTCTACTTGTAGTTCCTTATCTCAGCCTGTAATTCCATGCCAGTGCCAGGCCCCGCACAGTGTTTCCTGCTTGGAATGCCCTTTGCTCTTTTTCTAGATATTAGTTCCTCTCTATCAGCCCATGAAGGGTCAGGCACGCAGAGTAGGGATGGGCGCCATCAGCGGCATCTGCTTGTACCTACAACTCACCTCCCTCCATTACTCCTATCCAAGCATCCCTGCTCATCCCTCAGAGCCCTCAGGTGGTCCAGGGGCAAGGGTGCATCCCTGGGGGACCCTTGTGGCCAAGCTGGTTTGGTGAGTACATGAATGGACAAAAGGACCGCTTTTGGAAATCATCCCCCACATGACTGCTAAATCCTCAAAACTGAACGTGATTGTAAGACAGAGAAATATGGTGGAGAAAGGGGAACCCAGAGTCTATACCTAGAAATGCCCTACTTTTGGACACAGAAAGTCTAAAGCGTTTAAGGTATCACAGAAAACAACTACAAAGTGGGTCCAGGGATGTGACGATCAGTTCTGTGAGAAAGTTCAGTGGACTCAAACCGTTAAAAGACCTAAATCAGAGATTACATTCAAACTCACTATGTAGATTCTTCCATCTAACACACCCACTAAGACTTGTTCAGTATCTTTCTATAACTAGACTGATAAAAATAAATACAGGTAAAGTTTTGAGTTGAAGGCACCTAGAAAGAACTCAAGCACATTTTATAACTACATTTAAAATGCAAACAGATTTCTTTATCTCCAGGTTTTATTTGATTTAGCATAGTACTGAATGTTCCAAAGGAAGAAGAATATTGTGGAGATTATAATTGGAGTGTTTTTATAGATGTAAAGAATAGGTAAGCTCATGAGAACAGTTTCTACTTTGTTTATTTAAATATAAATCTCAAAAATGATAACATTTCTAGACTGGTAGATAGCATAAACCAAATCACACATTTTGAATTTCAAGCACAGAATTTCATTCTGTTTTGAAACTTTTAAATAAGATCTTCAGAGGGTGAAAAGTTGAAACTAAAAGTAATTTAATCTCAGGCCACCTGAGATTAACAGTAG